TCTGGCTACAATTTCAATGATTATGTTGAATAGAAGTGGTGAAAGAGGGCATTCCTGACTAGTTCCAGTTTTTAGAGGAATGCTTCCAATTTTTCCCCATTTACAGTGATGCTAGCATTGGGCTTAGTGTAGACAGCTTTTACAATGTTGAAGTATGATCCTACTATTCCTAGTTTTTCTATTGTTTTGAAAATGAAATGATTCTATATTTTTCAACATCTATAGAGAAAATTTTATGATTCTTGTCTTTAAGTCTATTGATGTGATATATTAGATTTATTGATTTCCATATGTTGAACCAAACTTTCATCCCTGGATGAACACCACATGGTCATGGTGCACTGTATTTTAGTGTATTTTATGTATACAATTTGTCAGGAATTTATTGAGAATTTTTGTGTCTATGTTCATCAGGGGTATTGGTCTTAAGTTTTTTCCTTGATGTGACTTTGTCTGCAATTGGTGTCAGAGTGATAACAGCCTTATAGAATGAGTTCAGAAGGGTTCCCTCCTTTTCTATTTCATAGAAAAATTTGAGGAATATTGGTATTATTTCTTCTTGAAATGTCTGGTGGAACTCAGCTGAGAATCTATCTGCTTTTGGGCTTGTCTTGGTTGATAGGCTTTTGATGGCATCTTCTATTTCCTTGCCTAAAATTGATCTATTTAAAAGGGCTGAGGTTGTGGCTCAGTGGTACAGTGCTCAACTGCACGTGTGAGGCACTAGGTTTGATGCTTAGCATCACATAAGTAAATAAATAAAATAAAGGCATTGTGTCCATCTACAAAAAAAATCTTAAAACTTGATATATTTTAATTGTATATGTCCACCTGATTCAGTTATGTTTGTAGAAATCATGGTTTGTAGAAATTTGTTGATGCTTGAATCAAATGTATGAAATATGATATGTCAAGAGCTTTGTAATGTTTTGAACAACTAATCATAAAAAATTAGAAAACAACAAAAAAAAGATTTTCTCTTTTATTTGAAACTAAAATATATAAATATATAAAACATTGAATTATATTACATTGAATGATTTCCAAATATTAAGCCATGTTGTGTATCTGGAATAAGTCTCACTTGATCAGGATGGAGAGCTCTATAATTTCCATTTTGCTATTGCCTCTTTAATAACAAGGTAATGCTACTCTCATGTGTTTGGAAATGCCCTGGGTATGCCGGGGAGCTCACCCTGACACCCAGGTTAGAGAGGCCGCCACCCTGGAGGGGGGAGTGCCCCTCTGCCCTGGGTGCACTGGGGAGCTCCCCCCAACACTCAGGTTAGAGGGGCCTTCCCC